AAAGCGCAACCAAAGTGCAACTAAAGCGCAACCAAAGCGCAACTAAAGCGCAACCAAAGCGCAACTAAAGCGCAACCAAAGCGCAACTAAAGCGCAAGTCAAAAAGCGCAACTAAAGCGCAAGGTGACGCGGCAAATTTTTATTGGTTGTCCGAACTTATCTTTTGGCTCCGGTCACCTGACCCAATAATTTGCCCGAAAGAGGAGAGTTCGCTTTGAGATGTCGGAGTTGTAAGAATAGGAGATCGGAAGAATGTCGGTGGGTTTCGGCTGAATGAGAAACCAACGAGAGCACCGGTATGGCTTCGATTTCTGTCTCTGTATTTCTTTCCTTCGGCTCTGAGTTTCTGTTTGTGCGTGAGAATCGAATGAGAGGAGGGGATCATTTTGTGTCGTGAGGAGCAGTTTCTACCGAGAGGAGTGCGATCGTGGGGATCATGGGAGAGAATATGGGTCGGCTACTGTTAAGAGAATGCAACAACTGTGTGAGATCGTGGGTAGTTTTTGTTAGAGCTGTGGGGTTGGTTTGGTCGAAACAGAGGTATGAGTCGGTTTGGTATGTTGATTGGGTCTGATTCTGTTTGCAGGTCAACAGGTTCGCCAGTTTACCGGTTGAACCGGCGGTTCATCCCAAAACCGCCCAGTTTAATGCAAGGGCGATTTTCAGACTGGACCGAACCAGTCCTCAAACCGGTTCACGGTTGAACCGACCGGTCCGGTCCGGTTTTCAAAGCACTGATAGTGGAGAACAACTTCTTTTTTTTCACATATTTTTTAAATTTCTAAAAATAATCTTGGATGAAATTTCTAACACTTCTATTTACTATGCATGAGATTTGGCAATGATCATAATAAAGATATATATATATATATATATATATCACCACCTAGATCAAATTCCTTCATATTCCACTTCATTTTCAAACCAACCTTGATTTCTTAATTGAAGGCTTTGTTGTTCTTATTTTTCATCTTTCTCTTGATTTTTATAGCAAACATACTAGATTTGTTGAAGCCTTTGATGAGAAAGAGAGATTGATGTAGAATTTTTGATACAATATAATTTTGTACTTCATCAATATGAACACATCTTCTAATGATGCACTGATGATTAAGGATTATCTTCTAAACTCTATTGTGTATATTTAATTTGCTAGTATTTTTGTTGATGCAACTTCCTTCTTTTTTCTTCTTTGTACCCATGAAGTTAGAATGATTAGAGGAGCATTTTCTTGAATCTGACTCCAAGAGTTATCTTGACAATCATATTACATATGAACACTTCAATAACTTAAAAGTATACTTTATGGATTTTAGTTGAGCAAATGATGCACTAAGTTGGAAAGAATACCTATATAGAAAAAAGTAGGTCTAACTGATACACTTAAATATGTATATTCTCAGCATCAATTGCTCCATCAAAGATAGGGATATCAATCTTTGCCTTTATCTTGAAGGGTTGATGTTTCATATTGAAAGAAGGATAAATATTATTTTCTTTTAAGTCTTCTTACCTCCATGAACACTCATTGCTTTCCTTCTTTCACTGAAATAATTTTTTTATTTATTTAGAAATTATATTTTGTAGCTTTTTGATTTGTTCAAAGTTTTCAACCAAGGTCTACTTATTCATCATCTCATCAATACAACAATATGTCATTGTAGATGCATGCTTTGGATAATTAAGTTGTTTGAAGCTTCTCCTTGGTTTGTTGAAATCTTGGCTTCCTCTCACCTTCTTGAGACTTATTCTAGGGACAATATTGATTCTCGCATCTTCTTTAGTTCCTCTTTATCAACACCATGCTCCAACTAATCTTTTTGAACCTAATGCTCTTATATAACAAAATTGATCCATAAACTTCCATATTAAGAAGGCATCACAGATTAAATATGGAGTGTTGTGGATTTGGTCAATAAAAAAATTAAACATGTAGTTTAATTAATAGAGAAACCCAAACAAATATACGATGATGAAGAATTTTTTCCTTACATAATCTCTCTATAACTTTCCAATCCCATGTTCTCTCTAAAGACTTAGGACTAGAGGCACATCAATCACTCTTCTTAAATAAGGTAAATCTCTATGACTAATAATCATATTATCTCCCATTTAACTTCTATTTATTAATAGAGCATGCAAGTCACAATAAATATGTGGTATGTCACACAATTTACACAATAAAGTTATTATAAAGAATAATGACTTTAAATGAAAAGTTATAAGAGAGGACATCACCTATTAACACCTTAACCATAGATTGGCATTGCCAGGCTATTAATCACCAGTCTTCTCGAGTTTATAAGTTATCTATTCTCTTATGAGTCATTTGAAAGCGTTTGTGAGAACTTTAGCTCATGAATCCTATATAACTTGACATTCAACATGTGGCTCTCAGAAATTTACTCGAGTTCCATTCAATGCTCTTCTCCTAATCCTTTAGTTAACTACACTCCTATCTTTGAAAGTTCTTAGTAACATTATAGATACTCTCAGAAGTCCTCTCCTTATATTATACATTATCTTTATTGGCCCCAATATAGTTGAGTCACTTGACCTCGTGATTAGGGATTCTCTCAAAATTTTAGAGATTTTATATTTAGTAGAATAAAATAAGCATTTTTTATTTAAAATGGATAAGTCACATATGTCTAATCTAATGAAAATATAATCTAACCAGCATTAATATATTTTTAATCAACAATGAGTGAGAAAGTTCATTCCAAAGCATAACAAAAAAGCTCTACTTTGAAATGTGCTTCTCTCAAATATTTTGGATTTTAGTTCTTAGTGGAAGAAACATTTTTTTTGAATGGGTAAGTCATATCAATGTAATCTATATAATATCTAATTTAATATGTACATCAAATCTACATATCATATATCATATAAATTTCTAATTCCTTCATTCTCTTTTAAATTAATATTGTATAAGCTCTATTTGAAAGATAAATTATCTTTCCTAAGCATTAAAAATTAAATTAATTTAAATTTTAAATATTTAATTAGTTAGGTGGCCGATCCAATCCAGTTTATAAACCGGCTTTGCATTAACTTAGATTGAACCAGCAAAAATCGACTGTTCAAACGGTGAATTGATCCGAGTTGAAAAGAGCCAATTGGATCTATAAAAAAAATTATTTTGTAATTAAATTTTAAGCAATATATTTTAGTTTATTAAATTCTTTTAATATTTTTATTAAATATGACGACATCATAATATATGCAACTTATCTCACATATCACACATAATGTGTTAAATAAAAAGTGCGTACTTCATACTATATAAAAGATTAAAGACAACTATCTCAAACTCCTCCTATGATATGAGACTAAAAAAGTTGCATAAATACTATATGAATTAGAATGTAAATTTAAGCTTAGTTGGACTATGAATTTGTGCTAGTTGGGCTGCAAATTTTTTAATGTGTATTGTAAATTTTTTATAATGTATATTGTAAGAATTAATAATTTTGAAATATTATATTAAATATTATTCTTATTCTAAATTATATTTATGTTAATTTTATTAATTTTTAATAATATTATTATTTATTAAGTCATCCGATTCAACTTCAATTTGTCCCATAAAATCGATCAAAACGTGAATTTCTGCTTCTTCTAATTCATTATCCGGTCCTGTTTTCAGAACTTTTGATAAATATTATATAATTTTAACTTATGAATGGAGAAAATATAATAACTTATTAATTTTATTCTTAAAAATAAATTTATATAATACAATTATATATATATATATCTATATTCTTCTCACTTCCCGGCAGCAGGACCCCCACGCCATATGGTCACTTTTTCCCATCGTCTTCCCCACATGCGGGAAGGTAGGGAAAAGCCGCCACGTAACATCGTGAAGATGAGCGATAAAGCTCACTTTTTGAAAATACATCATGAGTGAAGGAGTGAAGCTGAGGAAAGTGCAGACGAGATCGCACTATTCTATTTATCCGAGCGGCAGCAAGATGAAAGCCGGTAGCGGCGACGGCAAGATGAAAGCCGGTAGCGGCGGCGGCAAGATGAAAGCCGGTAGCGGCGGCGGCGGATCTCCGTCCGATCCAAACCACCCTCCTCAACTCCCTTTGATCATCTCACTCAACTGTATCGAAGACGTCTCCTTCGAACAACAATCCCTAACCGGCATAGCCTCTGTCGAACACGTTGCCCTCTCTGACCTCTCCGACGGTAGAATCGAATCCGCTGCCGTTGTACTCCTCCACTCCCTCGCCTTCTTACCCCGCGCGGCGCAGCGCCGACTCCAGTCATGGCAGCTCATCATCTGCCTTGGATCAAGTAGCCGTTTAGTTGATTCTGCCTTAGCTACTGATCTTGGCCTCCGCGTTGTACACATTGATGTGAGCCGTGCGGATGAGATTGCTGATAGTGTTATGGCTTTGCTTCTTGTTTTGCTACGGCGGTCGCATTTGTTGGCAAGGCACTCTTCGGCGTCTTCAGCTGTGTCTGGATGGGTCGGGTCGGTTCAGCAGCTGTGCCGGGGGATGCGGCGGTGTCGAGGTCTGGTGGTTGGGATTATTGGGAAGTCTGCCTCAGCGCGTTGCTTGATTGAGAGGGTTGTGGGGTTTAGGATGAGTGTGATTTACTTTGATGTACTTGAGGTATGTGTTTCTTCTGTAAGCTCCATACCTTCTTGTATTGATCACGCGTTCTCTGTTATGCTTGCTCGTGCTTTGTCTGCTATGCTGTATTTCAAAGTCCTTTATAAGTTACGGCATGCTTTTGGCGTTCTGATTGTGCGTGGTATTTGACAAAGTAGAGTTCCTAGCATAGAAAGTCAATTTTTATGCTATGTTGCCAACGAATTGATTTAGAAGGTGCCAAATCTTTGTTCTGATCATACTCCTCTGCTATTTGGTTTGGTTTTCAAATTGCTTCTGGGCATGCTTTTGTCTTTCTGGCAGAAACAGTAGTTGCCAAGTAGAGTTTATATTAAAAGAAAAGATTTAGTTTTGATTGTAGTGTTGCTAGGAATTAATTAATAAGACGCAAACTGGTGTTCTATTTTTAGGAAGGACATCACAGGAGCATGCTATTAAGTGAAAACATGAAAATGGCTACGTCAATTGTGTTATCAGCTGTGCTGTTTGCATCAGCGAAGATTTCATCCTTTTATTTGAAGGAATCAGTGTTGATGATACTTTGGGTGTTCAAGGATGGGAAGAATTTGATATAATTATTGCTTTTTGTGTTATGCTGTATTTTATTTTCGAAGTCTTTTATAGGCCAGGGCATGCTTTTGACCTTCTGGCGGGAACTGTACTTGGCAAAGTTGTATTTCTGGTAAAAAATAAATTTTGATAGTAATTGCTAGTGAATTGATTTGGAAGATGCCAACCCTTTATGTCCTCTCCTTGTCTGTGATAGATTTCTACTTCAAGAGAGGACATCTTAGGATTATGCCAGGTTTTCAAAATAGCTACTTTGATTAAGTTATTAATTATGCTGTTAGCATCTGCAAAGGTTCCATCCTTTTCATTTGAAGGAATCTGTGCTGTTGATCGTGCTTAGTAGACTAGGCCAGGACACGCTTTTGGCTTTCTGGAAGAAATGTTATTTGACAAAGTTATGTTTCTAGGGAAAGCAAAGAAAAAAAAAGCCAACTTTGATGCTTGTATTGCTAGTGAATTGATTTAGAAATGCCAACTCTTAATTCTCTGCTCTCTATCAATTGTTATGATGTTATGAGTTATGTTTTGAGGGAGAAGATGAGAAGAGTATACTAGTTTTTTATCATAAAAAATGGACGAAATTGAATTGGATGCTTCAATTTAGTTATAAATTATTGAAGGTTACATCATTTTTATTGTAGGCTTTTGGTGTTGATGATCCATTAGGTGTTCATTGCTGGCTCAAACTTGATATGAAACTTGTTTTATGTGATTTGCATTCTGAGCTTTCTAATATTTGGGTGCAGAGTTTCAATATGGCTCTTCCTCTCTCTGCAGTTTTTTCCTCATGCTAAAAATGTGTTTAAATGAACACTAATATTCTTCTCAAGCCTTTACCCTTTTTGTAATATGATCAGTACATAGGCTGCTAGAAATTGGGTTGCAAATGGGAATTCATACTTGAATACAAACATGTACATCTAGATGGATAGCATGCTGTAAACGTGTCACAAATTCTGTACAATTAGTATGCACCAATAGATATAAATCGAATAACCAAAGAGATTAGATAAACCTCAGGAAAATTAATAAAAGGTAGAACTTCCACTTGCTTAAGCCATTCATAGATTCATTGAAAGCCTCATCATGCGATCTGTATCTTTCATTAATTTTCATGGGTTGACTTTGTAGGTGATAGTTTTGTGTTCATTGCAAACTGCAATGCTAGTTTCAGTTACAATGATAAATGTATGAAAATTAATGTTTAACTTCCCTCCCTTCAACAACTATTCAAAGGGGAATGGAAGGTCTCGTCACAGCTCTATAGCATTTCCTCCAGTTGCTAGAAAAATGGACACTCTCAATGATTTATTGGCAGCAAGCGATATTGTGTCACTTCATTGTGTACTTTCAGACGATACAGTGCAGATTCTGAATGCTGAATGCTTGCAACATATAAAACCTGGTAATTTTTTGACCTTCAAGTATCATACTTGAATTTACATTTATGGTTTTTCATTGTTTTTGTTGTGCTGTATCACAAAGTTTAATTATTTATATTATCAATAATCAAAATTTTGAGCTCAAGAATGATTTTGTTTTCATTTCATTTGCAGGAGCAATTATAGTCAATACAGGTAGCAGCCAACTAATAGATGATTGCGTTTTAAAGCAGCTATTGATTGATGGTACTATAGCAGGCTGTGCATTGGATGGCGCTGAAGGACCACAATGGATGGAAGCATGGGTATGAGTATTATCCTTAGGGTATGATGCGATATATTGAGTTCTTTCGCCTGGTTCTTAATATCAGAAACTGGATAAGGTGTCTGTTGGAAAATTTTCTCAATTTATTATCCAAATTATCCCTATGTTTTCCATTTTAATTTTTTTCTATAATTAATATGCCTGATTATGTTCTGGATGATAAGTTAATTTTTGTTGTTATGCATGTGTCTCTCTTTACTTCGACATGATCATGGTAGCTGATACGCAAAGCCCAGAATGTTCTCAGTTGGCTTAAACATGGGTGTGCTTTTCTGTTTATTTATGCAGAAGTGAAATCTTTTTTTTTTTAATAGCTGGAACTTGCACATAATTTTCATTATTCATTATTATCTATATTGTTGAAGAATTGACTGGTATGAAGCAAAATCTCATTTATCAGTTTCTTAACTCCATTGAGATTTCTGTCATGAATATTCACCTACTCGTTAATAGCTTATGAGAAACTTGCCTTGTGCTTTATGTCTGCCACAGTTCTGATTCAGGTTATACTAAGGTCTAAGATTTTTCTAAGGAGATTTAATACTTTGTAATGAGATAAAAGTAAAATGTAAGAAAGTAACTAATATTTATGAATTTCCTGATAAAGATGCAATCCGCATATATCGTCACCCTTAATGCAAAATAGATGTGAAAATAAGCATGCAATAATACATTAGGGAGTAAAGTAATTAATTTAAATAATTATTTTCACCTAAAATGATTCTTTGAAAAACATAAGGACTCAATATTGTAAATCAATGTTAAATCTCCTGGGATAAACTTGTCACAAGCATAAGCGAGTCTACAATTTTGTTTATTAAGGTGCTTTCAATTTCATGAATCATGCATAAGTGCGCTTATATGCATTATTTACAGATTACAGAATGGATTGTTGTAAATATTTGCATCAAATAAAATATTTAAGCTAAGATAAAACGAATGCTTCATTCTTTGGTTCAGTGTATAGATTTTATGTAAGAGTGGATGTTTCTGAATTTAATGTAGATGATTAATGATGATGCTTTGATACCTAATTGGAGGAAATTCATGTTGGATAGTGATGCAATCAAAAGATTGCAAAACTAGTAGGAGAACCCCCAGTCACAAAAAGAAACAAAGACAATCCTTATAACTTGAAATAAAAGGACAAACAACATTTTAAACACCTTTAAACATAACATGACATTACAAACTTAAATAAGACATGAAAATATCTAAAAAAAGCTTTTCCTGATCAAGAAGAAAGATACAAATGGCATGGAACTTGCGGAGAGAAGAAAGAGGTATGAAGCCCGAGACGAAGTCATAGAAGAAGAGAAGAGAACTAGAACAAGCTCGCAAGCTTTTCCACGAAGAGCCACACAGGGAACCATAAAGGAAGCTACGGGAGACAGGAACAGGCAGCACAGGGAACCGAAACAGGAAGCCAAGGGGGGAAGGAACCAGCCACGGGAAGGAGCTAGGGGGAGGAACCAAAGGGCCACAGGAGGGGGAAAGCCAGCCACGGAACAGGCAGCCAGGGGGAGGAACCGAAAGGGCCACAGGCAAAGGGGAAAGAACCAAATCCACATCTCTTAATGAGCTAAAAAGTATTCCATAAGACATTAATGAGTTGAATTAACAAAACTTTGGCACATGAGTTGACCCCCCCTGCCTACATCAGATTTTTCCCCTGTTAAAAGAGCTCATCTCCTGATGAGGATGCTTTAGATTTATCCTAACGAGACGATGGATCTGAATCCAATTCTTGAATCTTCGCCATATATTTCTTCAGAATCATCTCTCGTTCTTGCTTGAATTGGTCTTGCAAAAGTCTCTTTTTCTTCATGTATTGTTCCGTACACATATGCATCTTCATCTGTAGTTTGTATAATTCGTTTTGAATTGGGTCGGTTGAACTTCCTTCTGACAGAATCCATCTGTCCATTGGAATTGGGACTTCAAGATCTTCTAACTAATTTTCTACCACAACTGGTTCAATTTTTTTTTCTTTTTCCATTTTTAAACACTTAAAAAATACACAAAAAAAAAACTAGGAAGATACTAACCCAAGATCTGATACCAAATTTGATGCAATCAAAAGATTGCAAAACTAGTAGGATAACCCCCGGTCATAAAAAGAAACAAAGACATTTCTTATAACTTGAAATAAAAGGACAAATAACACTTTAAACACTTTTAAACATAACATGACATTACAAACTTAAATAAGATACGAAAATATCTAAAGAAGCTTTTCCTGATCAAGAAGAAAGATACAAATGGCATGGAACTTGCGGAGAGAAGAAAGATGTAAGAAGCCTGAGACAAAGTCATAGAAGAAGAGAAGAGAAGTGGAACAAGCTCGCAAGCTTTTTGAAGAAAAACTCTCAGGTTTTCATCTCCAAAAATTAGCACCTAACCTCCTTTTTTATTCTCAAAACACCACATATATATAGGAGAAAAGGGGCAGCCAAACAGCAAAAAACCACCTCCAATTAAACCAATTAAAACAGGGGAAATGGAAGGCCACCGGGCGGTCCAGATGCAGCACCCGAAGAGCCACATGGGGAACCGAAAAGGCAGCTACGGGGGACAGGAACGGGCACCACAGGGAACCAGAATAGGCAACCAAGGGGGAAAGGAACCAGCCACAGGAAGGAGCCAGGGGGAGGAACCGAAGGGCCACATGAGGGGGAAAGCCAGCCACGGAACATGCAGCCAGGGGGAGGAACCGAAGGGCCACAGGCAATGGGGAAAGAACTAAATCCACATCTCTTAATGAGCTAAAAAGTATTCCATAAGACATTAATGAGCTGAATTAAGTAGAGAACTCAGCAGCTCACCAAAAACATAGCAAAAACCGAGCAGCCAAGCCCAAACTGAGAACC